CATACACATTGTATGTATGTCTGCGAGTCGTCCGTCTGTCTGTCTGTCTGTCTGTCTGTCTGTCTGTCTGTCTGTCTGTCTGTCTGTCTGTCTGTCTGTCTCTCTGTCTCTCTGTCTCTCTGTCTCTCCGTCTCTCTGTCTCTCTCGTTCTGTCTCTCTGTCGGTCTCTCTCTCTCTCTCTCTGCACATGTGGTTGCTTTGGATTGATGGGCTTGAAATTCTGAGGTCACTACCTGATGAATGCCAGAGTAGCTTGAGTGTTGTGATGTTGCTTAGCCATGGTCAGGTGCCTTCGTGGCACACTCTCCCTCCCAGCAGCACTACTTGAGGCTTGCATGAGAAACTCTGCAAGCTGCTACGGTTTCATAGTTTCGTGAGCCAGGCGCAATACTCATCAGGGAGTCATCCGAGACCTGAGGGAGGATTGGGCACGACCTGAGATAGTACAAGCTGCTTTTCTTCGACATCGTATTGTTTTAAACAAACATGAAAGTGTTGTATTCACGGATAGTCACGGGACCGAAGACCGTGCACAACGAAGAACTGTTTACCCCGGCCGAACAAACCTCATTGTAACGAAGACGAGGGGACGGTGCTCTGCTTGTCTGGATTCGCTTTAACCCTTGTGCCGGATATTGAAATGATGGGGCCTAGCCAAAGGGACGAATCAGCATCCACCTGCCGTATTCCGTTTCGGCTTCAACAAGGCACACCCGATCATGTCTTCATCGGTGAATGTATAGCTTCAGAGATCTTGCACAGGTGCTCATGGATTGGTGATCTTTGGGGCTTGCAGAAATGGTCTCTCCATGGCTATCATGTTGGCATAGGCAAGTGCCGAATGAAGCAATGCGGCAGATTCCCTGTTCACGCCGCACAGGCCTGTGAAGCATGGGGCACAGCACGAAATCCGGCAAACAAGTTGTGGGCACATGTCTGGTGCGTTGGAGGAGCCCGTCTTAACATCGGCGTCGCTTTCCTGCTTGTTGCAGCGTTTTGTGCAGGCCAGGCGGTGGAGCTGTGGTGGAGCTAGTTAATGGTTAGATAGGAGGTAGAGAATACAGGAAGGACCCTTGAAAGCGACGATAATATACGAGCAGAACAACACGACAAGTCACCCATGCTGCCGAGATGGTTTGCTTGGGAAGATGTGTAGCAGCGGTCGAGTACATGTGGGCGAAGGTCGGCAGATTGCCTGGCAGAGGGGTTCCTGCGCCATGCCCTCTGTAAACCTGGCACATGTTCGGAAACCGATCTTGGGGTGTTGGTCTTCGTTTGCTTACCGCTCAAATGAGGCATTGGCGCTCCCCCGGAATGCAAGACACCCTGGGCTGCTTGTGGAGGATCCTGCTTTCGGTGATCTGCCCGACAGCATCCCAGCACCTGGGAGTGGAGTGCATGGAATACATTGCAAATCTCACGTTTTGGTGTTTTCTTGCAGGAACGGCGATGCTTCTCGAGCCTTTCGCAGGACACGGCTCACCGCTTGCTGCTGTTCGAAGGCGTTCTTCTTGCTGCTAGTGTTGGAAGTTTAGATCACCTTTGTGCGGCTCAAAAAGCAGGTAGATGTCTCAAGTGGGGTAGTGGTTGCCTGAGAGCGGAGCATGGCAGCCCAGCTGGCTGTAGACGTCTTCGAAGAGGAGCGCAGGCGCTTGGAGCTGGCGGCCGTGGAGCTGAGACAGAGCCTGGCTGAAAAGGACGTGCAGTTGACCGAAAGATCTTCGGAAGCAGCACTGGAAGAAGCCAAAGTCCTTCAAGTCCGGTATGCCTCAGAGATGAAAGAAAGAAAGCAGAAGGCAGATGAACTGCAGCAGCGGCTGCAGAGCCTCGGAGCAAGCGTTCAGCTACAGGCTGAGGAGATGAAAGGAGTGGAGGAAGAGTTGCTGGAAGCAGAGGAGTATCAGAGCGACTGTCTGCGCAGACAGGTCGAACGCCAGGAGTTGCAAAGTCGCTCTGAGAAGATCCAGGCAGAAAATGGCCGACTTGTAAACCGCTTGCGCTCGGAGATCCGGCTTGCGGACAGCAGGACATCGGAGTTGCAGCTCGAGCTTCGCGACACGACGGAGGCCACAGCCAGGGCTAGCGATGCGAGCCATGGCATGACGGGCATGACGCCCCAAGAACAGATTGCTGCCGATTTGAAGGGTCAGCTCTGTGAAAGCCAAGAAACCGTAGCAGGCCTCGAGGAATCATTCCAAGCAGTGCAATCCCTTTGCTTGGAGACAGAGGCGCGCATCCAAGAGATGCTGCACGATTCCACCATTGAAGATCAAGCTGTTCGAAAGGACGAAGACATCCAAGCTCAGGCAGAGCTCTTGGACGAGACCAGGAAGCTGGATGAGACTCGCGACAGGATCGAGCAAGTCCAGAAGCTGCAAAGTATCGCCCAATGTCTCGCAGCTGAACTGCGCAAGTCAGGCCGGCTTGCTGCAGCGAAAACTTGTCAGAAGCGTATGGAACTAAGTAGCCTTCTGGTGGTCTGCAGGCTCTCTTGTTTCCGACACTGCTTCAACAGCCTTACCTGTCACCCGCAGTGAGGCCCATTGCACAGTTCGGTTCAGAACGGTGTTGATTTTGCCTTGCCTCTGCAGGTTTTGGATGGACTTTTGTCGGAGGAGCATCAGCTCCAGGAGCCGGCGATAGCTGTACTGTGCTAGCCAGTGTCTGGATTGCTGGAGTTCTGCAGGCCGAGTTCTCCGCCTGCCGGCTTGATGCAGGAAGGGTCGAGGCCTGACCGCGGCTCAACTGCTTTGTCTTGCATCACTGTGGTATTTGGCCAGGTGCAGGTGAAGCACCTTGAGGAGGATGATGGGATGAATTATCTTCGCTGGCAAGCGTTTGACTGTTGGGCAGAGGTTTGGAGGGCCTCCTCGGCCTTTGAAAGACTATCGCAAGTCCTTCTAAAGTCTCCTTGTAACTTGCATATGTTGCGCTCAACATTGCACCGTATGACAGGAGCTCGAGCAGGTTCGAAATAAAGCGCAAGAAGACGAAGTCAGGAGCTTCCGCAGCTTCCTGTGCATGTCTTCTTTGGCGAGTTGTGTCACTGGAATTCCAACAGGACAGGCATAATCATCGACCACCAGTGCAGCACATGTTCACTTGCACGTGTGATGAGTCAGTAGAGTGAATCTGTTACAGTGACCGACGCCATCCGACGCCTAAATCCAACGACTAAAGTCGACTAAAGACTCACGGTCTTGCAGTCATGTTGTGTTGTGCGTGCTCGTGAGCGTGGTTCACACATGTCTGTATAGAAGTTTGAGAGTATTTTTAATCTACCGCAGACTAACAAGACAGGTTTAGAACCTGCTTCAGAACCGGCACCGCGCAAGCGAGCTCAAGGGCCGGCGCAATGGCTGGACCCCTGTCCCCTGACAAGTAAGTAGGTAAAGGCCAACACGCAACGGGGGCGCATATTTCATCAAATGTGCACAATCATTGACAATGAATCCAAGCTTCTGTATATATGTATATACACATTATGCCTACTTACCTACTTACTTGCTTATTTACTTGCTTGCTTGCTTGCTTACTTACTTACTTACTTGCTTGCTTGCTTGCTTACTTGCTTACTTACTTACTTACTTACTTACTTACTTACTTACTTGCTTATTTACTTACTTACTTACTTACTTACTTACTTACTTACTTACTTACTTACTTACTTACTTACTTACTTACTTACTTACTTTCTATCTGTCTATGTATATGTATATATACACATAATCAGAACACATCTACATATCGATATATACACATACTCATAATATGTACCATGACATACACACCATGCCACACCCCAGCACACGCGAAGAAGCTAAACATGTCGAGATACCAGTACCATACATACCTACATCCATACTTACATCCATACCTACCTACCTACCTA